AACGTAGGGGGCTACGTTTCTTGTTTGGGTGGTTTCCAAGCTCTAAGCCTAGGGCATAGGGCAGGGCCAAAATAAGAAATGTAGGGGGCTACGTTTCTTATTTTGGGTGGTTTTCAAGCCGGGTCCAAAGGCAATTGCATTAAGAAACTACAGAGTAAAGTGTACTGTAATACTGTCTTGGTGGTCTCTGTCTGGCCGAATGGTCAACGCCATGGGCTCAGTTGGTGGACTTCCATGGGCTCGAGCCCCGGCTAAGAAATGAACAAGAAATGAAGGGTACCCAACGATTCGGGACCTGAGAAATGTGGAAATCTGAAAGTGAAAGGAAGCCAAGAAATGAAGGGTACCCAACGCTGGAAGCTGGCATTTCTTATCCAGCAGATGCACTGTATTCGAAACATGCAGACAAAATCGTGGTTACACAGTTGCAGCTACCCTGTTGTATCGATGTGTCGGAATCGGTGTGGATGTGTATGTGTGTGTGCTGTTTTTGATTGTGTGTAGTGCGGGGGATGAATCACAGATGTCTCCAACCAACGAAGACGCCGCTTTTGTGTGTGCAGTAGTAAACGTACCGGTATGGTGCACCTGCGGAGAGTTTTGTTTCGCCATATTGTACTTGCTTGCAGTGATGTCAGCAAACATGTCGCAAACCGGGCATGCTGTTGCCTTTTGTTGCTTTGTATCGTACTCAACTGTATGTGTGCTGTGCCGTACTGTGCCGTGCCGTGTCATGCGGTAATTATATCATACAGAGTTGTGTTGCTGTGTTGCACTGTACTGCACTGTATTGTGCGTACTGTAGAGTCTTGACTTGTCTCGTCTCCGCTGGTCCGCTATGCTCTGCTCTGCTCTGCCTGGTCTGGTTTGGTGGGCATTGGTGGGCATGGCACGGGATGGGACGGGATGGACGCACGCATGTACGTACGTGCCTTTTTGATCATGCAATATCATGCGCATCTTCGCCGAGCTTCTTGTCCCCAGGCTTGAATGGCGAGGACCTGGTGACAAAACTCAACGAAACACTACGACAGCAGCTGGCACTCGAAGTTCAACCCCAAATCTAAAGTCGCAGCGTATCACAAATCGAAGCTGACTTAGACTCGAGCTCCGCACTCCTGACCGGACCTGGATGTCAGCTGACATGTTGCTGTCGCATGCTGTCGCTGGCTTTGCCGCGCTTCGCCACTGGGTCCTCCTGCGGTGCGTGCTGAAGCAGGGAGCCGGCCTGACGCTGGGCCAGAGCATGGCAGCACACTGTACTGCATTGCGCTGCCACGCGACAGGCCTCCACATCCCCTGCCTCCACCCGGCAGAGAACGAAGGAGCTGTTGCCTAGCAAGAGAAGCAAGTTGGACATGAGAGCATCTACGGCTAGTACCGGCTCTTCGTAGTGCCTTGCTTCTCGCAGCCCAGAACGCTGACTCGCTGCGGACCGCCGTCTGCATTCTCTCGACGAACCTCTGAAAATCGTGAGTGCCGGCTGAAGGCTAAGGATGCCGTGTATACCCGGTTCAGAGCAGTCTCGGCATTGAACCGAAACCGGACATGTCTCGAGAAGCTCCAACAGTGATCCTAGCACCGGTCACAGGCTTTGATTAGGGCTTTAAAGCAAGCGAAGCAAGCGCTGAAACGACTCCTTCAGAGTACCAGCCGTCGCATGCGCCACAGACCAGGCGGTCCTCCGATTCCGACGCTTTGCACAATGCTTTTGGTACGATCACATTCCAACTCAGGCATTCCGAACTGATCCACTGCGGGATTTGGTGGAACATCGGGTTTGGAGGTTCCAGGATCTGAGCGCTGATCGAGGCTGATAAACGGCACTGCAGGACGAAGACCTAAGATGACGACGGTCGAAAGTTTTCTGTGCTACTCATAGAAATGCGGGAAGGCGTCCTTGTTAGGTCTGCATGGCCTCTCCTCCAGATTGACGTTCGTGCCATGGAGAGCACAGACCGGGACGAAGCGAAGGCTGCCCGAAGTGAAACCAACCTGAACCGTTTTGCCATGTCTTCACAGAGCTCGATTTCGCCAATCCGGCAGATCGGCCTCTCCGAGAGCGGCCTGGCGAAGCGAGGCCAAGGATGCCCAAGAGCTCTCTGCTCTCGCTCTGAGCTCGGGCTCTTACCGCGACTTTGGCTTTCACCGCCTCAAACCGTTCGCTGCACCAGGGTGCCTTCCAAAATTGGCCAGACCCGCTTTTCGTCTTCGAGTCTGTCAAAGACGGCTCCGTCTGCAGCCGCCTTGCTTGCATCACCGAGCTTGTTGACGGCAATGACCTGGGGATCGAGTGCAGTGCGACCAATCCGAGATTTCCACTCGAAACGCCGAGAACTGGGCTAGGGAAGACATGCCAAGGCCTGAAAGATCTGCGAAGAATCGAAAGACTCCGGAAGCCACAGGGCGATTCCACAAGCTAGGGATTAAGGCTGAGACACTTCGCCAGAAGGGAATGCTCTAGCAATTGCCTCAAGTTGGGGAGCAATTACGACTGCTCTCGCGAGTCTGCTTGAGAAGCTGAGCTGGCTGCCCGCCACGTGCGATGCTCGAATCCAACCTGGGCACCAGATCTACAGCAGATAAGGTCGCTGGGCCATTTCCAGGAGGCGATCAGTGCTACTGAGGCTGCGACTCCGCTGCTTTGGCGGACCTCTGGGAGCTCGTAAGCAAAAGATAGCAGAAGCAGAAGCAACCCCCTTCCTCAACCCGTTAACGCCGTTAACTCACCGCTTCGTAAGGGAGCGAGGCTGAGAAGCGAGCACGACAAGGACGGCAGCATCAGATTGACACAAAGCCCTCCAAGCCTGCCGGGCGCGCATCCTACCAGTACGGCGACACGGCCTATGCTATGCGAGCCTAGGCGAGCCCCAAAAAAAAACCTTGCTTCGGGCCGTGGCCTGTGCGACGTTGCTTCGACGCCCTGGGACGTCCAGCAAAGTGAAGCGCCGGCCTCCCGTCGTCGTCGTGACGGGCCTTAGCCGGCCTTACCTCGGCGCTAGGGTAGGCGGTTAGCGGCGCCTGGCGTGGAGCAGCGCTCCGCCAGAAGCTCACCGGGCTGCTGAGGCGCCTCACCGTCCCCGAGCCCCATCCACTCCTTCTCAGAACCCTTCGTAGCGCTTCGTAGCGCTTCGTAGCACTTCGTAGCACTTCGGCCCTTCGGGCTCGGGCCTTGAAGAACTTCTCCACGCTGCGCTGGTCCCAGGCCCCGCACCTCCGGCACGGCAAAACATCCACTTCGCGACCTCGACTTCAGCGACCAGTAACTACCAAGCCCATGACGCACGCAGAAGCGCCGCGAACAGCGTGGACCTTGTTGCGAGGATGGCAAGGCTGGCGAGGGAAACGACGCAGCTCCACTTGGTATCGCGGCTTTCCAGCACCAGTATGTCCCAGAATCGCAATGACGACGTGCTGCCTCCGCTCAGGCCAAAACTCTTCAGAAACGTGCAGCCCCCTGCCACGCAGCCGCCAGGGCCTTGCATCTCTCTCCGGCAGGCTCGCCGCAGCCTCACAAAGAAAAAAAACTCTTCACTCTCAGTTTTCACAAAGGACCCTGCAAGGTTTATCCTGGCGGCCTCTCTGGCCGCGCGGAGCTTCGAGGCCCAGTCTCCCCTGGCCTCCTGCAAAGACAACCAGCTGGCGTAGCCGCGCAGCCACTCCGCAGCAGCTAGTACACTTTTCAGATGGCTCCCCCAAAAGTGTCCATTAGTTTCCAGTTTTGTTTCAAAGGCTTCGACGTCTCTTTGCAAATCGTTGGATTTCAGGTCTACAGGACCTGGGAAGAAAGCAAACACCGAACCCAATGGAAAAGGCTAACTACAATATGAGCAGGCTTCTGAATGCAAGTTGTTATTTAATGGCATGTTTTCCGCATTGCGCGTTTGATTGCCTCAATACCAGGATTCCATCTGCCATTTCAAAGTACTCCCCTTATTTCTTGATTGAAGTCTTATTTCCTGCGACAGTGTAACAATTCCACTTGCCCCCTATCAACGGTGGTCAGAAGGAGTCTTTGGTTCCTCTCCGGGCATTTTCCGGGAGAACCCTGCAGTTCCGGGTACGTTCACTCCTGTAGCTGATTTCCGCAGGCTGGACCCGCAAGGACTCCGAACGAAGCGCCCTAATATCGGACTCTAAATCGAAACTGGCCGATCTGTGGTTTGTGAAAGACCTCAATTGACATGTTGTTTGCGGAGCTCAAAGCCGGACTTCGCTTTCGCAGACGACAAAGAATCGCAAGAACACAGTGCAACACAGCATGCAAGAGCTCTGGACTGTGCAAGAGCTCCTGAGTTTGGCCGGGTTCGCGGCTTGACATCGTGGAAGCCTACCGGAGACGGCCGGTGTGAGCCCTTCTTTCGGCAACTGGCAGGTTGCTGCCTCTTGTGGCCCACTGGGAACTTTCCTAAGTTGGTGCTGTGGCGATGCGATACTAGGAAATTTCACGACCGCGATCATGGCCACCAAGTGACTGGGCAGGCTGCTTTGGCTGCCTCTGGTTCTCCCTTTCTTCGCTCTCGCGGATCCGGTTCGCCTGTTGTTTAGGACGAACACTGGAATATCGTTTGCATGTGTGGCAAAGCCTGCGGCGCCTCGCTCAAACTGGGCTGTGGCTGCGGCGGCGGCTGCAGCGGCTGCGGCACTTCTGGCGGCTGCGGATGCGGCTCCGGTATGTGTTGTGCGCCCCTCGCTGGGGCGTCAGGCTTGTCTGGCAGGCTCGCCGCTTCCTTGAGTGGAGGGCTTTGTTCCCGAAGCTTTGGCTCTTGAAAGGAAGTGTCCTTCGGTTGACTTTGGTGGCCGTAGGCCGGGTGTGCCCCCATCGCACCGGACACGCCCTGCATCTGTTGATGCATCGGCTGCTTTTGCTGGCGGTACGCCCGCGGGTTCGGCTGGCCCTGCTGCTTCAGCTGCTGTTGCTTTGGCTGGTGAGGCTGCTTCTGCTTCTCAAATTGGCGCACGTGCTCGAGTTGCCTCGAAAATACTTTGGAGCACTAGCTTTGGAATGCCGCTGTGTACGTTTTCTACGGCTGCGCAATATGCAGCCAAGGCGCGGTACCATGGGTCGCTGCAGAACAACCTCACATCTGACAACGGTCCTCTATGGCTGTGCAGCTAAGCTTCACACACAAACGTTTTTTCGCTGTATGCCTACAGTGGCTTAAAAACTCAAGGGGCCCCTATTTGGCCGTACAGCGGAGGTCAGGTATTCTGTGCTGACCGAAGCCGAATCAACGTCGTTTGACGTTGCCTTCGCGACGTCTTCGCTCTCGGTCTTCAAGCTGCCAGTCTTCGGCTTCCAGTTTGAAAAGGCCCGTAGTCAGCAGTTTCATCAGAGCCTGCTTTTTGCTGCTCGGTTTGGTGAGGGAATCCACCACCATGGTTTGGTGCTCACCCCACCGTAACTCCACACCCAAGCCGTCCTCTCTCTCCCTTGTCCGGAGCCGTAAACTTATCCTGGCTCTGTGACCCTGCTTTCAACAGACTTTGGACAGGGAGTCCTTCTCGTCGGTCTGAGTGCTCTGTTGCACCAACTCTGCCCTCGCTCGAACATCTTGCTTAAAGGCCCCCAGGGTAAAGTCACAGTCGACGAGCTTGGCCCACGTTAAATCTCCGAGTCCACGTAGGAGAACTTGAGCCTCGGCCGGCAGGGTGCTGCTCACTTTTCGCCGCAGCTTGCCAGATTCCACCAGATCATCGGGCACGGTACGCTTTCGCCCTTCAATCAGTTCCTTGTGAAAGGCAATCACAGATGCGGCTCCTTGAGAAGAATTGTCCGTGTTTGGCCCAAGAGGCATCGGTGACAGTTCCCCAGCATAGGTCTTCTGGAGGAATAGGGTGGAACTTCAATTCCAAGTCCCGGTCGCCTTTGCACCTGCGGTTGACGTCTTGCATATCTTTCACCTTGAGCGTGGTGATTTTGCTGGCCAAGTCCGGTCGGCCCTCTTTAGCCAGCCAAGCCAGAAATCCAATGACACCACGGGCAGCCGAAACTTCTTGCGCTGCTGCTTCGGCCTCGGGCTGCGAACGCCTCTCCTTGGGAATGGCCATCGGATGCAGCTGCTCCTCAATGAACTTGCTCATGTCCACACGGATGCTTCCGTCCGGTCCTTGCTGAATCCTTCTTCCATTGAACATGGTGCCATCGGCCAATTCCTGGAACTTCTTGTACTTGCCGAACTTGAAGCGCTCCTGTAACCGAGCCATCCTCAACTTATGCTCTCGGTGGCCAAAATAGACAGAATATCGTCTATTTCTACCACCAGCACTCCTTCAAGCTCCCTGTCCACATACAGAGCAAACGCGGTGGGGTGCATCCAGGACTGCTTGCACCCTAACTTCTTGGTGATACAGCTCTTGAGGGCTTTCCTCCAATGCAAGGGTCCATCCACCAGCCCATAGACTCCAACAATCACCTCCATGATTACTTCTGGCTCCATGCCCACCACGTGGCTGCCTCACATATAGCTTCCCAGCTGCACGCTGCAACCTGTCACTTTGGGTAAATGCGGCCTTCAAGTCGCCGCAGGTCCCAGGCATCGCGAGGCTGCCAGCTCAAGGATCACCTCCAAGTTCTGGGGTCGTGACGGTAGGTGAGCACGCGTCCAGGTCCGGAGCATCCGGGTCTTGATCCTCGGACACACCATCCACTTCGAAAGTGCTGGGCTCGCCAATCTGCTCGCTTGGCTTCTTCCTGCGCGCAAACCTGCTGTCCACCAGCCGGTCGATTTGACCGGCGCGCCCCAGCTCCTCGCGAACGTTCTTTGACTCGGCGGGGGTCAAAACCTTGACCGCCCCTGAAGCTGCGATCTTGGCCCACTCCTCGGCATCCGATCAAGCCACTCTTCTTCTGGGATGTCGCGCTCTGCCACCTCATCGCTCGCCACCTTCTTTGCCGCAAAAGCCATCACGTCGAAGACGTAGACGGACTTGCCCTCGTCCGGAAGGATGCCAAGCATCTCCTTGAGGAGCTTCTTGGGCTCTCGCTTCGTGAAAGGAAAGTCGGTATAGCCCTTCCATTCCTGAGCCGACTTGGTATTGGGACGAAGCGCTCTCCAGTCATCGCGCGCTTCTGTTCTATTGCTTGCCTTGTCCATCTCGACAGTAGACCTCTCCGAAGTCAGCACCACCAACTGCAAAGGCATCTTGGAGCCTTCCCAAGGGCTAAACAAGCACGTGTCCCACTTCACACGGCGTCGGCGCAGAACCCAGGAGCTCCCAATAGTCAATTGGGCCTCGCGGTGTCGTAGCCAGTCGCGTCTTCGTAAAGGAGCCCGCCGCCGATCTCACAAAAAGGGGCGCCGTTGGAAGGCCATCCAACCAACCTTGCTGGCGCTTCCCACCGCACTTCGAACCTACTCTTCCCGCGCAGGTCCTTCTAAACTGTGTCTCTTCACCTCCGGTTCCTCGGTGCTCTCTGTCTTTCTTTCGTCCACACTAGCTCTCTCTCTCTCTCTCTCGACGTTGCTTGCGTCTCGGCCTTCATTAAGCTCCGCAAGAGGAAGTTGCGGTACAGGGGGTATCTGCAAGTCCACGGGCACCGGCAAAGGAACGGGAGGTTCTGGATCGTCGTGCCCAGGCCGGGGTCGAGGGAGTCCCGGCCCCGGTCGGGCACCCCGTCTGCACTTTCGCCCTGCGGCTGTCGGCTTGCTCTCTTACCTGCGCCGCCAACATGGGTCACAAAAGAGCTCGGGGGTGCTGGGGCCGATGTCTTGCTCATCGAGGCAAAGCCAGAACGCTGCTGCACAGTGATAGGATTTGCACTGAAGTCACTTGCCGACCTAGCACCTTTACACTGCGAGGGTTGGGCCCGAAGTCCAGAACGCTAACTGCCGCATGCCCGGACTGCAAAGTACTCATGTTGCACGAGGCCCCGACATAGATGAGGTTGAGGGTATTCTTCGGGAGGCGGATTTCGGCACCCAAGGAAGGAATCAAGAGATGGGTAGGAGCAACGGCACAACTTCCGAAATAAAATTGTGCGTTCAAAGATCCCGGAAATCTTTGCCGGTCCAAGCGGTATTCTCTACGACTCCGACCGTGGTAGCTTGTCCGCCGACACCACTCGCTGCTGCTGTTTTGTTCAACCATTTAGAACTGCAAAGAGTACTCCTTCTTTTCCGCTGCTTTCGGAGGACCTTGTGCAAAGTGAGAAAGGCAACCGAAGACGACGACCCAGGGGAGTTGCCCCAATAAAGGACGTAGCTGAGCTCTTGCCGTGCCCGGAAGCCGAAGACGAAGGCCCACTTGGCATCACTGGGCCACATGTACGGCATCTCGTCCTCAGCTTGAGCTCGGCCCTTCAGCGGATAGTTTCTTCCCGAGGCGTTGATGATTTATCTTTTTGGCGCACCTCCTGATAGGAGGCAAGTGCCTCCAACAGGTCTTCTTCCTGAAAGACCTCGCCAGAGTCGGTGTCGTTCAGGTACACGTAATTCTCGTCATCGTCGCTCTCTTCCTGGTAGTACATCACGTTCTTGGCCTCGTCGCCGTAGTCGTCCTCATTCTGGTGGTCCGGGTCGTCGAAAAAGACCCTCCTTTTTGCACCTTCTTGGTGAATCCTTTCCAGGCGGCGAAGCTTCCAGCACAGTGTCCTTGGAGTAATCACCGGCTATCCATTTGGTGAGCCTGTCGTCCAGCTCCGGTCCAGGTTCGCCTGCCGGTGCAAAAGGTAGCCTACCGCCTTCGAAGGTAATTCGACGCCGCGTCCTTTAACAGCACCTGGGCCCTCTCAAAGCGAATGATGTAATCGGCCACAGTTTCCCTTGCTCCGAACAGGTCGCCTTCCATCGCCCTAGGCAAGGCCGTCTCCACGCACGGCTCGAATGCCTCACGCAGCTTTGCAAGCACCGCCTTGTAGCTGTTGGGGCCCTTGATATCGGACACTGTCAGCCCATCCACAGCCGCCTTCACCTGTCCTGTCTTCCACCACTTCAGCCTTTGCTTCTCTGCTGGGACGTCGGTCGCGGCCTGCCACAGCTCCAAGTCCTCAAGTAGTTTCGGGGGTTCTCGCCGCTATAGCAGGTGGCGGGTCCGTGTCTCTATAAACCCATCCTGCCTCTCCTTGGCCGGCTGCTGCCTGCCCGGCCCACATGGCTCACTCTTCCTCAGGCGATCCCTCCGCCGCTCCGCCGATCAGGTAGCCAACGGTCACGTTCCGGCGCATCGTGTACTCAGTGCCGAAGCCCGTGATCAGGATCGCTGCCCTGGTTCAGAACCAAAGGGCTCCGCTGCCAACTGACAACGGTCCACTATATGGCTCTGCAGCTAAGCTTCACGCACAAACGTCTTTCTCTTCACTGTAGGCGTAGCTTAAGAACTCAAGGGGCCCCTATTGGGCCGCAGCGGCAACGGCGGAGGTCAGGTCACGCACTGGAGCGGCTGTTCTCACATCGGAGCTCGGCGCAGAGAGGAGTGGACTCGGCCCAATTGAAGCGAGCAGCGGGTGTGTCACTGCTGCTGGCATTGCTGTCCAAGACCAGCTCTGCCGATCGAAGCCAGGCGGCTTCCTGCGATGAGGGCATCGGCCTGGCAACTGTGCAGTCGCGAGGCCCACGCTCGCCTGGCCATGCCTGGCCTTGGCACCCTTCCAAGAAGCTCCTGGCTGCGCCTGCGAAGATCTGCCAAAGGCCAAATGCGAGCGGAGAGGCATGTTCCAGCCTCGGTGCTCTTCGCCCGATGCCTGGGTGCAGAAAGCGGACGCATGCATAATAAAACCGGCGACAGCTGAGCTGCAGAGCTTCGGCTCTTCTCTGGCTCCAACGACCTCGGAAACGACGCCGAAGGCGCTTCCCTAAGACGGCCCTGTATGTGGGCCCGCTGCGGCCGAATCTTCTCTCCCTCCCTCGGCTGAACCGGCTCCGGCAAGCGGCCTGCTTTGGACGCCTATAGGGCCTACACAACACCTTTGCTTTTTTGATGTCTTGCCGCCTGGCGAAGCTCTCGCCGTCGAAACGGCTGGTATCCGCGCCTAGCCATTCGAAGCAAACGCCTTCCCTGCCATGACTGGCCAGGTAGCCATGCCTTTTGTAGCTTCTCCACGAACCATTGCTCAAAGGTGCGCTGATGAACCTTGGTGAAGGTTCTACTCGCATCGCCGATCATCCAGCTTTGAGCCGATTGGCCTCGTCTGTCACGCCCACCTCGACAAAGAAGCCACTGTCGAAATGAGGCCTGAGCAGCAACCACCAAATATTTTTTTGATTATGTATATAGCCTGCACAACTACAGTGCAACCACTGCGCAAGAAAGGGTTGGTTCAGTGCAGGTGTTTTTTAGGTCGCTGAAAAAACAATTAATACAGAGCTGTTTGGGTCCATTTCTTCTGTGCTGGGTGGATCCTGGTCCAAGCCACACAACTCGTGGCACTGTGGCGGGAGCACACTTTGGGGCAGCGGCAACGTCCGGAACTGTTACATTTTCTATTTGGGTGGTTTAGGAGAAGCATGCCTCCATTCGTGTTTGTCTTGGATGGTTTTGGAGGCCTGGCGACCACCACAACAAGAAACATAGCAGCGCGCTGCATGTCTAATTTTGGGGATCCTAGGTGACTTCAACGATTGCTTGAAAGCACCCGAAATGAGAAACGCAGCATGGTCATGTGCATTTCAGATCCTTGCGGATTGCAGAGGCTAAGCGCTACCTAGCAACTTTGGCTCTGTTACCCTTCTGCAGGCTCGCGCGCCGATTGAGAAAGGAAGGATGCCTAACGATTCGGGTGCTGGGAAATCTGGCAACATGAAACCAAATGCAAGCTGAGAAGCGAAGGAGACCCTGTGCTGGGAAGTGTCATGCCTTCTCCACATGCGCACATACATATATATATATATGTGCATTTC